ACACACACACACACACACACACACACACACACACACACACACACACACACACACTGCCTTTTTTGTTAAATATATGTTGGTATTGTCCGTATGCCATCATTAATATTTCTAGTTCCAGTGATGAGAAATAGGGACTTCGATTCTTCCTGTTTTCTGCCGTTTCCATGGTGAATCGCATTATCTGACTTCCATTGATAAGGGCTTCTTAAATACTTGAGCTCAAGGGGTAACTTCACTCCGAGTTAAGTTACCCAATTGATATCACCTGTTATGTAACCATAAATTCACATTGACTTACATTAATCTTGTGAAGGTGGAGTTTATCAGACATTAAAACCAAAGTGTTTAGAATTCAGTACAAGAGAACAAAGCAGTACTTAGAACTTAGTGTCATTACTCAAGAAACTTTAACATAATCATTGTTAAACATACTTTTAACAGTTCTTAAAGAGACAGAGGCCAATTTCAAGGTGTTTAGAAGAGGAAGTGATGAGACAAGTTTATTTTCTATTTAAACATAAAAACAGTATTTTAATAACAACTAAAGGTGACATAGATACTTTATTATGGTATAGTATTTAAATATATGCCTGAGAAACATATAATATTGCCCCTTTAATATTAGTATTAAAGATCTTGATATGGCAGTGCTCTGAGTCCAGTTGATAAGCAGGATCACAACATAAAGGACAGATATTGAGCATAAGAATAAATTTATAGAACTTTAATTATAAAAGATCAACAATATCACACCAGGTTCCAAAGTCAACACCATTCAATACAAAGTCAATCAAAACTGGAGCCAAGACTACTTTTGTTCCAAACACAGGTGAGATCTGCAGACGTGTGTAAACACATCCTGTTGGTTAGACTGATACCTTCCAGGTGACCATGACGTTCAGCTTCTCAGCACACCCCTCGACTCAGCCTGACAATCCTGTTATCCAAGAACCACTTTTTCACAAAAACAGTTCATTGTTCAGGATCTCTTACAGATTTATTTCAGTGTTGGCTAAGGTCTGCTGAAAAAGATGGCATGAATCTTCATATAGTTTGAATATCATGGATGTGTTTGAGAGCTAACTAAACTATGAAAGCTGTTTTAAAGATAGGTTTTAACATGTAGGATAAGCTGGGGAGAAAAGAGAACCTGAAAACACAATAGAAATGTTTGTTTTTATTCTATTTAAGTTTCATTCAGACTCTCAGGTTGTTTTCAGTATAAACTGTACAGTGATTGAAATAGTTCAGTCATTTAAAGCCTCCAACAGGTTCTCATTGTGACCAGCAGGGGGAGCTGTTCCATAGACCAACAGAAAGTCCTCCTGGGGTCAGTCTGTGCTGACCGCAGTGTTACGGTCCTGATTGTCCTTTCTCTCACTGCTAAGATCTATTTTCTGTCCTTTGTTCTTCACCCTCCTCCTCCTCTTCTTCACTGTCCTCTTCTTCACTCTCGCTGTACTGGAAGTTGCAGCGGTTGGTGTTTACAAATAGATCACTCTCATCATCTTCAGAGTCACTACCCTCCTCCTTCATCTCGTCTTCCTCCTCCAGTTTGGTTTCTTTTTCCTGCTTCTTGCTCGTCAAGTCCTGTGACTTCTCCTCTGAGAAACCCTCGGGCCTGGAGAGGAAGTGAGAACAAAGTCACAACAGATCAAGAAGCTTATTCTCAGAGTGGAACTGAGGCTGTGTCTCACAAGGGGGCCGGGTCCTCATGAGGACCCAGCCTAGCTGGGCCGGGTAGGCTGCTCAAACCTGCTGTGAAATGAGACGGTCTACCCTTCGCCTGACGTCGGCTTCATGCGGGTTTGCGTGACCCTGTGTTCCCCCGTTACCACAGTCATCAGTTTCATGTCGGATTCATGTCGGACTTAAAACAGGGTTCATGCAGGTTTCAGTAAATTAAATTTAAGACCTTTTAAGACCATTAGGAATGACATTTAAGACCAAATCGACGCATTAACAGAAACATTCAAATGGTCCCAGAAATTTTATAATGGAAACCTTTTATTGCTATCTATTTAGTTATTAAAGAATATTTAATTTTAATACAAAAACACTAAATAATTTGAATGAAATGGTCAAATCTGACTGCTGTGAACCGCTTTCAACTGAGTGAAAAAAATCACTGATATCAAGCAGGTAAATAAGACACTGTATGTAGGAGGGTTGTATGTTGGGGGGCTGTAGCAGCAAAGAGGTCAAAGACCTGGAAGTAAACTGTGACAGTTTTATCTGCAGTTATCTTGGGATTTGTAGTTTAATCATGACCAGTAGCAAACTTAGCTCTTCATGAAGACAGATCGTGTCAACCTCTGATTACGACTCTTAACTTTATTTATTTATGCAGCCAACTGTTCTCAGGAATGATCAAAAGTAGTAAAAATTAAGACTTGACAAAATTAAATTTAAGACCTTGGGTGAAAATCTGGGCATTTTAAAGACTTTATTAGGCCTAAAACTTTGATTTTCAAATTTTAGACTTTTTTAGACTTTTTAAGACCCAGCACGAACCCTGTTAAAATGCACCAGGATGTGTATTTACATGTCTTTTTACTAAAAGAATAAAACCTTACACATAAACAAATAAAGAAAACATTAATAATTCGGGTTTGGCTCCAGTATCTACAACGGAGTATTAGGGCCACACAGTGAGATTCTTTTATTATTATAAAGTCATAATATTATGAGAATAAAGCCAATATTATGAGAAAAAAAAGTCATAATCTTACATGTCTATTTTACGTTCCTCATTTCCTCCTTGTTTTCCTCACACCTGCTGTACAGCCATGTGTCTGTGTTTATAAAGTAGTCCTCGATCACTTGGGTCACTGTTAGATTAATATACTTTCATCCAAATTGACATTTACTTTAATTTTGTAATATTACGATTTTATTCTCATAATAAATCTCGTAATGTTTTGGTTTTATTCTTATCACATTATGATTTTGATCTCGTAACATTATGACTGTAATGGAACTAATACTTTTATGTTTAAGCCAGTAATTCAGGACATCCTTTAATGACCTAGGTTTTCATGACCATGCTGTTCATCTGCAGATAGAATGATTAAAGTCAGAACAAGA